GACGCTTAACCGACTGCGCCACCCAGGCGCCCCGGGGAATGGGTTTTGTGTGTGTCCTGTGCCTGACAGCAAGCTGAGCACGCGGTCCCCTGATCGCGGGGCTGTGGGAACCAGAGAAAATATGCCCGCTCTGGGAATCCGGCTGGGAAATTAAAATATGAAGCGGAGAGGGCTGAGGTGGGCACCCCAGTGTTTCTGTGGGAGAGGTGGGTGTGGCAGGAAAGGGTAGGGTCCACCTAACTGAAAGCAGACAGGAGGAAAGTTCTAGAACAGCTGTTCAGCCATGACCTGACCTGCCCACAGCAGCCACGCTTCCTGGAAAGACGAATGCGTCGTTTTGAGCACCGTGGTGCCACAAATGCATCCTGGGGTCCAGTGAACTTTCTTTTAAAAACTATTTCTTTTTATTTTTAGATATGACTGGGAAAGTGACGGCAACACAGTATTTTGATATGTTTGAAGGAGGTAAGAAAACTCTTCCTATGAAAATTAAAATGAATTCTAAACATTAAGATTAAAAAGAAAACACAGATAAAAATGTCAAACATTCTTATTTTGTCTACTGAAAATGTTCCAGAAGCTCATATGAATATTCTAGAACACTCTTACACAAGCCCTCCTCATCTCTAACTGGATTCATATGGTGAAGTTTGAAGGTGTTGTCTAGAAAATGTCTTCTCTGATCACGCTTGTCCTGGATCTTTTCTTCTGTTCCTTCATCAGATAATGGGAAAGAGAAAACATTTTTTTAAAATCAGATATGTGTAAAATAATGTGATAAGCCTCCATCCCTGAACAGCATCATTATCCCTATCCTGTTCGTGATGTCCTGCTGGGCTAAGCACACGCATCCCTGGGATGCACTGGACTTGACCACAGTGGTCAGTCAGGATATAGCAGCCCCTTATATTTTTATTGAACAGTGAGGCTTATTAAAAACAAGTCTTTATAAGGACAACAGAGAAATTAAGAGATGGCTGGATGCGCCTGTTGGGCACTACGCATTTGTACTCTGTAAGTAACAGAAGTGTCACTGTAAATGACAAGCCCCCGTGGTAAAACCACGGGGGCTTGAGATTAGCCCTTCCTGTTCTTCCCGCAAGACCTACCGTGCTCGGTCTGGTCAGCACGTCTGATTTCTCACCCCCATTCTGCATATGAGTGTCCTGGGGCCACTCTGCTGTCAGATGGTTCCTCTCGGGTCAGGGCTTCATTAGTCATTGCAGAGAATAGGCCACATGTGCTGCGGTCTCAAGGTCGAGTCATAGAATCTTAAGGAGCCGCCCGTGCCCCTCACCTCTGCTGGTTGCTCCGTGGAGCCCAGCAGCCGCTCACTCGTGGACCAGGAGTACCATTCACGTGGTCGTGGGAGGAGCTCCAGGAACTGGAAGATTCCGGGCAAACACAGCAGCTAAGAGCAGAGGAGGCTCAGCGTCCGGGGCCAGTGGACCGGGAAGACCCTAAAACTGATTGATTTGCCTTGACCCAACAGATAACTCCGGACAGATGATAAACTTTATTCAGAGCGCACCGTCAAAGTCGTTGCTTTTCATGGTGACCCACGATGATGGAGCCAGCAGGTGAGCGTGTACAGATTTGTCGCAGCGGCAGGGGGGAAGCCAGCTGGCAGAGAGCGCCAGGCCAGCAACAGGGCCCCTCAAGAGCATCCTGTAGGAAAGAACACAAATCCAAAGGGCAGGATGCTTTCTTAAGGAGAAAGAATGGGAACCTCTGACAAAGCAGCCTGTGTTCCTAAAAAACCCATGAGTAGCCAGGGGTAAGTCAGTACTAGAAGCTAAAGAATCTTTCCAGGTAGCAAGACGGAGCCACCACTGACCACAACTAGCGCAGGAAAGCTAACACTTGGCCCAAAAAAGCTTAAACCCAGGGCTGGACTCACAGAAATAGGAAAGGGAGTTGAGAAAATTCTCTGTAGGAGCACCAATAGAATGAAAAAGACACGCCCACACGCGCACAGTACTTTCCGTAGGGAGAGGTCCATCTGGCTCCGCATTTCTCGCAATTCTGGGTAAACGCGTGCACCTTCGCTGCCAGACTTCCAAGGACCTCCAAGTGCTTCTGTGCGCTGCGTTTCCAAGGTGGATCCCGAACCCAGCATTCCCAGCTTTATGTGACCCCAGCCCTTATTTTTAATAGAGGATCTTACCAGACTGAAGTTATCTGGTGCACACTTGGAAAAATTCCGACTTCGCTCCCTCGGGGGAAACTCGGAGCTCATTGTTTTGTTTTTGTTTTTTTCCTTTCCTTGCTGCCTTCCTTCCTCTGCTTACTCGAAATCGCACGCTTTTACGATGGTTGGCCTTGTTTTCCATTTTTTGTTTTCTTTTTTGATACTGACCTTTGTGAAAATGAAAGGGACCATTCTGACCTTTGCTGGCATCTTTCAGCAACTTCTGTCTGCTTATTTTGTGGTCAGGAAACAGGAGGGACAGCAGAGCCCAATGGTTATGTTGGCTGGATGCGAGGACGTGACTGCACCCCAAGACACAGGGCTTTTGAGAATCGAGAGTTGAAACTGTGCGTCCCACACTGGTCTTAAGGAGTCCCTGATGTTGTCACGCGTTTAGAAATCCGATATCCTCCCGCTGTTTACGCCAGGAGGAGGTAGATTGCTTTAGAAGCCCCTTTCCCAGGACAAAGAGGGGTGACCCTCTGGTGTCTCCACATGCGACCTTCACACGCCCTCCCTTCTCCCCCCAGGTTGAAGGAGGACGCCAAGAAGGTCATAGAAGGACTTGGAAGTAAACACATCAGGAACATACAGTTCAGGTCGAGCTGGGTGTTTCTCACAGCCAAAGGCCTTCAACTTCCCGAAGAAATTCAGAGAGAAAGTGTAAGTGTTTTTCAAAGGTCCTTTCCCACAAACGGTCCGTAGAGCGCGCTCTGAGATTTGAAAGGCTGTGGGTTGGTTACGGCTACCTACCTCCAAGACATTCCTGCGCCAGGCCGGCCGCGTGGGCTTGTGGCCTGGGACTCTGCATTCCCAAGTCCGGGAAGAATCACGGGGAGGTGTTCGAGATGCCCTTCTAGGTGAAAGAGCCCATCGCACAGTGTGGGTAACCCTTTTCACGTTACACCGTGAAAAGGCGCTCAAGTTCACACTGCCCAAGCCTGTTTAAAAGCCGAGGATGCTTGAGACTCCGCAGTCCGGGACAAGCCTCTCTGTCCTTCCCCTTGGCCGTGAGGCCCATAGCTGTGCCAGTTTGGGGACTCACCCAGCCTGTGCACGTGATGCGCTTAAAGCAGCCAGACACACGCTGGATGAATGCAGCCTTCATTGGTGTTGTTGCCAGAAGTCCACGCATCATCGAGTCCCCCCCACCGTGTCCTCTTTGTGGAGGGAGAGCAAAGACCGAGAGAATAAGGTTTCTAACACAGGAAGTCGGTTGCCTGTGAAATTTCCAACGGAGCGTCGGCACCTGTCCTGGGGGTCACAAGCGGGCACCCCTGGGAACCGTCACACAGCCCCTTGCAGAGTCGCCGCTCGCTGGGACACATGACAGCTTCTGGACAGGAGGGGTTAGCGGCATCGGAGTGAGGGCCCCAGCTGCTTCTGCGCAGGAGAGGCGCCTCCTTTCCAGGAGCCAGAGACTCGCAAGGAGGCAGTGGGCGTCTGGAGGCCGTCCTAAGAGGCTGCTTCCGACTTTAGGCCAGGTGCCCTCCTGACGCCCTCTGGTGTGGTGACGGGTCTGGGAAGGGAGACGCACAGAAACAGACAGCAGGGGGGGTCTCTCCTCGTTCGCAGGACCACCCTGGCTGGAGATGGGGGCTGGGAGAGGTGGGGCTTCAGTGTGGCCGCACAACCAGGTAACTCGCGACCAGCTCCCAAGGGAAGGCCCTCGGCTTCTCTGATGCCCTCCGCCGTAGCACTCTGGAGGCTGGGCAGCCAGGGTTATTTTAGCACGCCTCTAAAAAAGCACGTTTCCCCTTGTAACTCTCAGGTTCTTTTACCGACAGGAAGCCAGCCTTGCAGAACACGTTAGGAGTGTTTACCCGGCGCCCTAGCGTAGACTTCTTGTTACTAATGGCTGGGTCCGGACACCCAGTGCCCAGCAGGGACCTCAGCGACCTGTCCTAATGAGAAGGGCGTTCCCTGGGCTCCGCGTGGTAGCGCTTGTCTGGGCCAGGGCCGCCTGGACCCACTCTGCTCTGTGAGGTGAGCTGAGCCAGGGGCCAGGCGCAGCCACATAAGGGTCCCTGGGGATTGAGTGGGAACGATGAGCAGAGAGCAACTTCCCGGAGCTTCCCCTGCCCTGCCACGTCACACTCATCCACCCCCAACCTGCCGTCCCTAAAACACTGATGCCCAGGCCGTATGCAGGCCAGCCAGACTAGAGTCTCAGGGTGGGAGCTGGCTGGTGATTCTGATGCACAGGAAGGGTTGGACCCGTTGCCCTGATTTGCACGGCGGGTTGGAGGCCCTTGCCCCAGCTCTCTTACCCTGTGTCCTCCCCACCTGCCCGCCCCC